TAGTGTGCGCTGCAGTAACTAAGGTTTCAAAATGAACGCTAAATATAATAAATTAGACGGTTATCGTGACACAGGTGGAGAGTGTTGCTGCGCTAGCCCGATTAGGAACAGAGTACACAGAATAAAACATGGCAGGTGCGGGGAGGGGCGGCATTATCGTATGACAAAATGTATGTAGGCCCCGTGCAGGAGACAAGGCTTATATGCAGATTACGTGTCGAAACGTTCGTGGATGCTGTAAATTAAATGGGATTTTAGTATCCGTCTTGCGTGAGTCAACCTGTGACCTTCATATAATTAGGATACAATGGGTAATTAGTAACTGAAAATAAAACAATTTGATCACAGAGATGATTGAATCAAAATTAAAGTGCAAAGTTAAATCATTAATATGTTTGGTTACAAAACAAATAAAGCAGGATAACGTAAAACAGTTTGACTGTAACGTTGCTTTTATACTATGGAGAAATCAGGCTAAGGCAAGCTTTTGAGCTGCAAATCATACTTGCTTATTACAATTAGAAACATTTGAAGTTTAATAATCTTCCTAAACCTCATTCTGTAGTTTATTTCACCCCGCACTACTGAATTTTATGACTGACTACTTTTTATTTAATGATTATGCTTTGTAAGTACTAAGAAATTATATGAATCGCAGTGCCTAGTAGGCAACTTCCCATAGTCTTCTGTTTAGCGTGTAATCTAAAATGCAGTTTCAGACGTCCCATTCAGAAACGACGAGCTATATTAAATTATTTTTAACTGCCAAACCTGTTTTCGCCACTTTATTGTTCTCTCAAACACAGTCTTAATTGCATCTTTCATTAAAACCGTCAAATCAATTTTCTCTCTGACGAAGGTTTGTTGCTATGAGAAATAAACATACAAAGCGATACTTAACAGAGCATTCGAATAGAAACTTCTTTCCCGAAGCTAAAAAACAAGGGAAAGGTGTTGTTGGTTTGATCATGCCTGGAGTATAGAGTTCCATATCTTTTAAAAATCATTAAATATCAGTAAAAATCAGTAATTCAGTTAAAAAGTTTATAATATAACACCTGATGATGGCTATATATAGCCGAAACATGTCGTAAATGTTCCACATGTAAATCGAGTACTCGATAAGGAACGTAAAATGATATTTTAATCTTTTAATTATCTTATATTGTAATTTACGGCCAATTTTAATATATTTTTAATACTTTTCTTTAACGTTAGCGTTCATTCATTGCACGTACAAATAATTTGTCGAGTGAGATTTCAGGTTCTCGCGGCACCAAATAAAAACACGGCTGTCTTCTGGCGTGTTGGGCTCAGAAGACAGCCATCTTATAGTTTATTACAGGTTGACCTAATTGAAAGCATACATAATACTGAGCACTTCTTCTGTGTTTCTTTCCATTTCTTCTGCTGTTATGACCTGCATGGACGGGAAGGGATAGATGCTAATCCCCATCAAGGTTCCTATCCACACTGACCAAATGAAACACCTGTAATCGTTGGTAATAAATACCTTATATTACAGTGAAAAATACAATAGTTATATGAACAACTAGTGAGTAAGGAATGGGTAGTCCAATTCTCTACTATCTTCAAATTACTAGTTTAATATTATCTGCAGCAAGCTAGACTGAGCAAACAGATCTCTACTTACAAATTTAGTATGCAGCAATGATACCCATCTTGTAGATATTTTAGAAGTCTGTTTCGCTAGCTTGGCGTGTATGTAGTCTCTACATGAGTGAAGTCTAGTAGTCTCGTCCCGGAGAGAGAATCTTCGAGTTAACTACTAGATCTTGTCAATCTCGACAAGGATGACCGAAAAAGAATGTCGTATAGTGATTCCGTCTAAGGTTAAACAGAAGTCTCTCTTCCTAATGTGAAATATAACGAAAATATTAATTGGTTGTTCACGCCCTAATTTCAAATAAAATTAATTTGTAGACAGTTTATGATTGGTAACATCAAGTTCGCATCAGAGGATGCTAAGAATCCGCATAAAGTTTCCCATCAATGCGATTTTACAAAAATAACGTAGTCCTTTGGTCTTTTACGTCCTGTTGACTGTTTCTTAACAAGTTTTGAAACAGGAACTCGTTGTGGTTTTACTTCCCATGTTGTTATGAAAGAATAACTCATATGGTAATTACAATAATTCTATCATTACGTAGATTAATAATAAAGTAATTAAATATAAGGATGGTTTATAACACTGCACTGAATATATATAAAAAATTACCATATAATTTATTGCACTTTGTTAAAACACACCATATAATAAAGTATTTAAAATTAAAGTTACATATCTTGATGATAACTTTATTAGGTTACGAACTATGTCACGCAGGGATACGCGCTTTTCAGCAATCAGATAAAGTTCGCTTTGAACTTCATGGATTAAAGTCAATTTTGTGGAAGGTCTCAAAACACAACGTTATAATTTTATTTGAAAACTTTTAACGCTACGAATTTAAAATTCAAGTGACACTTTATTCCGGATGTCAGTTTGCTAAAATAATTGTAATACGAACGCATGTGGCCGCTTTCTTTTCTATTCTGTTTTACGTAAAAATTGAAAACCACAAAACTGTTTGAATATTTATTTTAAATACACGAATTTTATTTCCTAAAAACACTTTATCATTCTATACGCGTTATGAAGGTATCTCTGTGCCAGGAACAAGAATAGGGGACAAATAAATTTCTTGATTTCGGCACTACCTATATGCTGATGAGAAGTCAGCTTCACGCTTCGGTCGTTTTCCCCAGGCATCATTGTACAGAAAGTTGGTTGGGTCTCAGGGTAAGTTTAGACGTTGTGCCAAAAATACATTCACGTCCTAACTGGAATCGAACCTTGACTATCCGACTGAGCCACTTTGGATGTCAACGGCACCTTTGTCTAATTACACAAGCGTTTTACGAAAGTTTGCTAAACTAACAGAATTAAAAGAAGTTTCGAAGTCCTCTGAATTTGGTCATTAAACATGACACAGTCTTAACGTCAAACGCATTTGGAAGCACGTGTAATAAGGACACGAGACGTTAGGCTACAAGCTTTACAGCACAAATGTCTCATAGTTCCCAAGAAATGGTACGATAAGGCCGAACACATGCCAGTGAGGAGCACATCTCGCTGATGTGTACAATGCAGCACTTCACATCATACGAAATGGTCATGCAAAATTTGTGGTGTAGGACTCCAGGACTTCTGGAGCTGGACTCCCAGCCAGTTAGCTTTCCTTCGTGTAATCGCCTGCAGAATGCTTCTTTGCTCGTTGACTCTCCTCAATACTTCTTCGTTGGTCACTCGATCCGTCCACCTGATCTTCTCTATTCTTCTCCAACAGTGGTTTAATAATCGCTTGCAGGAAGAAACTGAGATAACAGAAGTAAGAAAAAGAGGGTGACGAAGACCGGAATAGAGAAGAGGAAGGCGAGTAGAAGAAATCGGGAAACAGAAGAAGAAGGATAGGAAATATAGGAACTGTAGGAAAATGTGGGAAGAGAAGGAAGAGAGAAAATTTGTAGAATAAGGAAAAGGATACAACGATAAAGAGTAGATGGAAAAGAAGATAAACCGGGGAGGATGAATGAAAATGAGATTACACGTAAAAGGAGATAGAAGAGTAGAAGAAGTGAAGGAGGAAAAACATCCTAAGAGTAGGGAAGTAGAAAGAGGCGTAAACGGACGCGGAGGAAATGGAATAGACAGGGAAAATGGAGGAAAGGAAGAAAGCAGGGAGGGGTAAGAAAGAATTTGAAGGAGTAACAATTTGAGAAAGTAGAGGATCGGAGGAAAACACGTGGAGTGGAATAAATATTCACAACTGCTAGAGACTTTGTGTGAGTGTGTGTCTACTTCAGCGACAAATTCTGTGTTCCAGGAGTCTTTATCCAGACAGAAACTGCGTAGGTCTGCTCACTGTTAGCAGCAGCAATAGGTATAGAAGACATGAAGGGGCGGGTGGACGGACAGACAGAGCAAAGCGGACTAGGTCAAGGAATCTCTGCATCTCCCGTCTCATTCTTAGTCCTGAATTTGGTATGATACTTCAACAGTCAGGAGACATGAAATTATTTTTGTTGACAAAATGAAAATGAGAGGAAAAAGAATATTTACTGTGACCTCCCAACTCTTACTATTGGCTGTCTGTGTGACGCAGGCGTGTTGCAGTGACCAATGGGCAACATTCTACCTGTTCACAATCTCACGCTGTCATGAAGAAGAGGAGAGGATATTTGTGCTGACGTCATCTCGACATTCCGACTGGCAGATGGCACCAGTTGAGATTAATTTTTGAATACGTTATGCGCAGTTTAAAGCAAGATGGCAAACAGGTCAGGGGAACTACATCCATGTGCCAAAAGTGATAAAATATGAATTCATCCTCCAGGGATGTTCCGGTTCGTTTATTAGTCTTAATTTTAAAAGAAATGAAAACGAGGGCCTGCATCTCCTTTTTTCTCATTAACTTTTTTTAGTACGCTTATTATTATTATTATAACAAAAACATAATTTCTGTAGGCAAGAAAATGAAACACACTGTTCGGTTAGGCTTTGTGCACAAACCATGATGCAATTTAAAACGCTTTCATTACGGCAGGAACAATGAGAAATTACTATAAAATACAGGAGCTTTTGTACGCTGAGGTTGAAATGCTATTTTACGTATCCCACAGAGACAGACACAGAGCGAAACAAAACATGAGCCCTGGTGTTGCAGCTGGCATTAAAACTCTTTCCGGAGGCGGCCATTTAAAATTCCCCTGACGGGAATTCGTTTTAGGATTTGCAACCATAAACCAATTAGACTTAGACTATATTAAACATTTTCATTTTTAGGTTTTTATGACTTTATCGTCTATAATTGATTCTCGTCTTTTAAATCCCTTGTTCGGGTGCGTTTCTTAAAGGGTCTCACCCTTCTCTCTGCTGACCATAGTGCAGATAAAAACAAATAAACCCAAATTTACGCTAATCTACTTCTTGGCAGTGGCGTTTGTTACACACCACATGTATTAGTTATTGCACTGTTGTTGTATTGTGAGTTGAGGTAGTGGTATTATTACAACACTGGACATAATTTACCATCAGGACTTTTCCTTTTTGGAATTAAGCATTTATATTACCTCTACATGTATGTTCACTTCACCGACCACAGATTGTTTAATTAATTTGATCGTTTTCAAATTGTAAATGTACGGCGAGTTTCATCATAGACGTGTCCTGAATGTATTCGGTAATTCGACCAGACGCTACCTCTTACTTGGTAGAACTCCTACAGGCTATGTACGCCACACACACACACACACACACATCCTTTCACCTATCCAGTTAAATATCTTCCTTGGCCGAAAGACGGAGAAAGAATGGAGGACACTTTTCCGATAATGCATAAAATTGTTACCTGGATTTTAAATTATTTTGTCGCGTGAACAGCAATGAATCCGTATTGCCACACACAACTTTCACAATTATAGTCCACGACTGTAATCTGTAGACTTGCGGTATGAGGAGGTGGGGTGAATGAGGACTTCTTGCATTCCTTGCAAGTCTCAAGATTACAGTCGTAGACTGTAGTACCTAGAATGGATGGAAAATTGAAAACTACTAAAAACATAATTAAAATTTATTTAAATAAAGTAAATAAACTTCTCTGATCATTTCACCTTACGTAAACTGTTTCTGTACTAAGATGGCTGTCTTCTGACTCATTACCGTGAAAATACCAAATTATGCTTTTTATCTTCTCGTGAAAGGGATTAATGTGTTTTTTATGTTCTTTGTATTTATTTTATTTTCTTCTATTGACTCTGTAACTGACTCCTACAGGTGATGAGTTATCACGTTGAGATAAATTATTATTATTATTATTATTGTTGTTTTTGTTGTTGTTGTTTAACAAAGTAGGCTGTGTGTCTAGTTTTTTAAAGTAATTTCGTATGATTTCTCTTACCGTTCGACGTATTGTGAGATATTCACATACGTGTTATTCTTATGTTGTGATTTATAAACATTGTCGCACGAAATGGCCCATTAACAACAATCAATAAACTTCTTATGTTCATTATGAGAAAGTTTAAATAGAGAACGAATATGAAACTGCGTCTTGTACAAAGGCACAAATGTTGTTGTGGATCGAAATTCCAAAACTTTGAGTCAGATGGTATATCGATTAGCGGAATAGTACAAACAATACTGCTTAGCAACTTATGTAACTACTCACTTATAATACATGCTAGTATTTGTGCACACACAAAAGCGTGCAAAGAAAAGGACTCGTGTAAGTGTTTCCGAGGACATCTTTTATTAATTTACGGTGACAGCGAAAATGGGCAAAAACATGAATTTACAGTAAATTTAGCGAGTGGAGTGCAACAGATGGACGTTTCCAGCTGAACATCATGCACAATCCACATGTTCCAGCTGTGATTATGCAGCCCTAATTCACGCAACAACGATTACGGCAACCAATAGTACGTGACGCAAAGTCCAGTCCACGCGGCCAGCTCACCTCTGAAGCTTCTGCGAAAATTAAGGGAAGAAAATGAGCTCTTTTGTGCTTCTAAAAAGTGTAAACAGAAAATCCTCGACGCGGAAAATGAAAAATTAAACTTTTCATCCCCAGTATTTTTATTAATGGAGGTTGACTACTTTGTAACTGCTTGTTCAGGGATACTTTTAAAACTGTGGAGTTTACTGTGAATTAAATTCCCGTGTTAAATAATATAGGAGTTTAGCTTGAGGCATTCCTATCTGACCGGTTGAATTCAGTTCTAGAGTGGCTCAGGGAGCAGCCATTACGAATTATATGTACCGCACTAGTGTTTTCTTGTTTTATAACATTAACGTTTTCGCTTCAGCCACAATGTTTGCTAATGTCTCACTTCTTTTTTGTCTTTTAATCTGAGCTATTTTCAAATTTG